TAGCAGTAAATGTCAAAATTCACCTTAAAATGGCATCTCTAATTATAAATTGACACTCGCAAAGCATTGGCAGCTTCCTTGAGATCGCCTGCATTCGCAGGCTCCTGCCGCTGCCAGCCACATACCCAGTTTTCTCTCCTACATTTGCTTTTCCTTCCTAACATTTGATCAGTCAACAGAATGAACGCTAGTGTTCTCCTAAGTCACCCTGCAGTTTAAAGCCCTAACCACTTCGTGTTCTCCTGAAAGGGAGGTGGGGAGAGCAGCACGTCTTTCAGAAACAGAACTGCACTTATCCGTCACGGCAGCAGCGGCAGGGAAATTGGCCTTTGTGGAGGTGAGGCTGGTTTGTTCGCTGGGAAAGTAAAGCGTGCCGGATTAAAATGGGGGCAAAGCAATCCAGGCAGGTGGAGAGGTTTCTAGAAACTGGAAAGATTGGATTTCCAGGGTTTGGGCAATGAAGCAGACACTACTTAAATGTGCAAAAAGCAGGCAGTATAACAGCTTCAGGTTAGTTTGAAAATGGAATCTGGGGAGTTTTTTCATACAGAAAATTGCACAGAGTGAGTCACACTGGGGGAAAAGGGCCAGAAGCCTGAATAAGGAATAGGTCTGGCTCTGGTTGCTGTATTTAAAGAGAACTAAAGGCAGTGCAGATAAAACCTCAGCCCTAAAACAGCATGAAAAAAAAAAAAAAGCATTGTGGCCCAGTGGGTTACACAACTACTTGGGACCCCCGCATCCCATATCAGTGCTGATTTGAGTCCCAGTTACTCTATTTGTGATTCAGCTTCCTGCTAATGCATCCTGCAAGACAGCAGATGATGGTGGAAGTGTATGGGTTCCTGCTACTCACATGGGAGACCTGGGTGGAGTCCCATGCTCCCGGCTTCAGCCTAGCCCAGTACTGACTGTTGTATGCATTTAGAGAGTGAACCAGAAGAGGGACGATCTCTCTGTTTATTTCTCTCATGCTCTTTGTCACTTTGCCTATCAAGTAGTTGAAAAGGAACTTTTAAAATAAGTTTTTTTTTTTAATAAAAAGTAAGTATCTCTTTTTCTTTTTCAAAAAAAGGACCAGCGGGATTGAGGACAGGATGATGGTGAAGTAGAAGGAAATGTGTGCCAGTTAGAGGGAACAAATTTAACAATGGCTTTAGAATAAGAAACAGGTTGCCCCATCCAGATAAGTTTTTACTGCAGGTTTTGAGGGTGGCAGTTGGGGTCTGGTGGTCAGAGATAAGACTGGAGAGCTTGACATGGGCCAGATTTAGATGGTTTTGTAGGCTAAGGACTGGTATTGGTCCTACAGAGCAGCAATAGGAAATCAGTGAAGGGTTTTAAGTAAGGCGATGAAAACAGGATCGTGTTTGTGTTTCAGAAACATCGCTCTGGAGGATGCTTGGGGAATGGTGATTAGCCACACTGGCATAAGCATAAAGTACATGGAAAAAAATAAAGGCAGATACGGCTGGAAATGCAACTTTGGATCCAGATCATAGAGGATATTGACAGCCATGTTTCCTGCTTAGTAGGCGGTGGGGAGTCCTGAAAATTTCTGAGTAGGAGAATGCTGTAGATGGGAAAGCACTAAAGGCAGAAGGCCAGTTAGAAGTTTCCTGCAGTAATTTAGGCAATTAAATAAGAACCTGATGATGCCAAAAATAGAAATTAAGGGATAGATTCAAGAGCAGGTGCATAATTATAAGCACAGTTTCATTACTCATTTTAGATGGCACAAGTTTTTACATACATCAGATCTTTATAAATGTCTCTATTTCCACATCTGAATATAGCCTTTACTTCTGTACCAATTACTAGGTGAGATGCTCTTAAAGTTCTTCAAGGGAAAAGCTCCAATTGAGTTTGTTGCAAGTCCATACCTCAGTTCTCAGTGGCAACTGCTGCATGTCTCAAAGTCATCCAAACCCAGAACTGGAACTTTGTTAAAGAATTATTCCCTATTTCCTCTTTTGGTAGTTTCCTAGTCCTGATTATGTTTCTAAAGAGGCTTTTGGCTCTAATTTATTCACCTTCAAAAATGGCTTTCTCTTTTCTTATTTCTAGTCTCTTTTCTATTCCCAGGTTTTTATTTTCCCTACTTAACAGAATCACTAGCTCCACTAGGTGGCAGGGAGATTAGAGTCACATTTCCAGTGTTTAGTTTAGTTTTTTTTTTCTTAAAGATTTTATTTATTTGAGAGGTAGAATTATAGACAGAGAGAAAGGTCTTCCATCATTCTCTGGTTCACTATCCAAAACGGCCGCATCCAATCCAAGGCCAGGAGTCAAGAGGTTCTTTCAGGTCTCCCAAGTGGGTGCAAGGGCCCAAGCATTTGGGTCATCTTCTACTGATTTCCCAGGGCAGAGCAGGGGGCTGGAAGGGAAACGGAGCAGCCAGGACTAGAACTGGTGCCCATATGGGATGCTGGTGCTGTAGGTGGAAGCTTAGCCCACTGTACCACGGTGCTGGCCGCAGTGTTTGGTTTCTTTAAAGTAAGCAGTGTGAGTTGTAGGGTTGGTTCAACTCCATCCATCATGTTTCATGTACCTCAACTGTTGCCAGATTGATACTGTGTAATTTGGAGCTATGAAGGTTTATTGTTAGTGCAATATTACTCTGATTTTCTTCTGAGAGTTCCTCCAAGTGCTTCTGTTTCACATTATGAAATACTTATAATTCTGGGTCAAGCATAATATTTGGTCTAACTTCCAACACACAGAATTCCGAATGTCATTTTCTCTTCTAAATATGTATATATTTTTAAAAAATAGGAAGAAGCACTGTGTGTGTGTGTGTACGTATTTCTGTATATTAATTTTCCCCATGTAACAATTCAGCTTCTGGTGCTGGATGGTTCTATTTTTCCTAACTGGAGATCCAACAAACCTAAGGAGTGATTAGAAACATTCATGCTGTAATATTAACACTTACAAAACACTTACAAAATCCTACTGCTCTTGTCTGAGCTTTTCATTTTTGTTGAGCTGTTTAGCCATAATGGAAACTGCCCACACAATGCTTGCAAAAAATTTATACTTTTTCCATAATATTCATATCTCCACCCACTTTTGGGTAGAACAGAACAAGCATTAAAATATTCATATACACATTTGCATGGAAATATACCATATGCAAAGGTAGGTTTGCATGCTAATTTAAAATGGTTAACTCCATAGAAATGCACATTAGAAAAAGCATAAACACTCGATGTCTAGATATTTTTCTTCTCAGATAGCAATTTTTTTTGGAAGGGGCAAAAAAGGAAAGAATAATAGCCTTAATTTATTGAACACCTTTTCCTCTTCTCCTCTCTCAATAAGAAATAGGAGGGGGCAATTTTATGGTCAACTTAAAAAGGCACACATTCTATCTTCCTTAAAGTAGAGATCATGGAAGGTGCCCCAGAAGACCAGTTTTTAATGCAAATTCAAGGAGGAAGTGAAATTTGTCAATTTATCCTTTCATGTAATGTTTCTATTGTAGAAATCTCCTGACTACTCTCTCCATTCTTATCTCCTAGTAAGAGATGTTTCAGTCCATAGCACACAGCTTGTACATCCATTCAGTTCTCAGAGTGGTCTTGTGCTCTTGTAAACTCATGGGACAATATTGTTAGACCTATTCAGCAAACATATTTTTCACTTCTAAGAGTTCAATTTCCCTTGATGTTTACTGTTGTAGTTGTACTTCTTCCTGGTTTTGGTTAGTAGTTTCTTGCTTTTTCTAAATGAAAAGCTGTATCTTTGAACAGCTCTTCAAGTTTTTAAAAATATCACTGTGAATATTCCACAAAATTAATTTCATCTAAAATGAATCAGGTGCTGGGTGTTGACTTCCTTGGTTGCACTTCTTTTTTTTTTTTTTTTTCTTTTTAATTTTTTTTGACAGAGTGGAAAGCAAGAGAGAGAGACAGAGAGAAAGGTCTTCCTTCGCTGTTGGTTCACCCTCCAATGGCCGCCGCGGCCGGTGCACCGCGCTGATCCGATGGCAGGAGCCAGGTACTTATCCTGGTCTCCCATGGGGTGCAGGGCCCAAGTACTTGGGCCATCCTCCACTGCACTCCCGGGCCACAGCAGAGAGCTGGCCTGGAAGAGGGGCAACCGGGAAAGAATCTGGCGCCCCGACTGGGACTAGAACCCGGTGTGCCAGCGCCGCTAGGTGGAGGATTAGCCTAGTGAGCCGTGGCGCCAGCCGGCTGCACTTCTTAATGTAAATTTTTTTTACGTATTTTTGAATTCCAGTTTTCAGCTTCCCATCCTTCCTACCCCTGCCTTGTCTCTGACTCTGGTTCTCACAGTCAGCCTGTATCTCATCTCTACTTCAGCACCTTCATCTCCCTACAATACAGAAGCTGAATCTCTGGATCAGCGTCCAGTAGTACCCAGGTCTCAATCCTGTATACTGCTTGGGTTTCTATTTTATGTTGGGTCAACTTAAGTTGCCATCTTGACCAAAAGTTTAAATATACTTGTTTTATAAATAGAAATGAATGAAAAAGGATTTGTTAGCTTACTGCAAAATGCCAATCTATTCAATGGTAAAAGCTGGGCTCTGATTCACGTCATTATTTGTTCTACTATGCAAAATGTTTCACTTTACCGAGAACTGCTCTTTCAATGAACTGATGGTTAGCTATGGTAAAACAAGAGAGCGTATGACATAGAATCAGAGGACCTATGTTCAAGTTATGACTCCGCCGGTTACTAGCTACTCTTTAGTTTATTTATCAAGTAATGGCGCTATTACCAAATGTGGAGAATCCCACAGGAGTCTCAGAAAGAGTCACGGATCACCGCTTACCTGGAAAGGAGATGAAACTCCACAGTAAAAACATTGAAAAGTTACCACTAGCCACAAAATAAAAGTAAAGTGGGGTTATTCATAGTAAGTCAGGAGCTGAGGCAATACCTGACGGTTGTTAGGGAGACGCTCCTAATCATACCACGCAGACATCTCTGGTCAGTCAGATAACAGTGCACTATGGGCAATACGCTCCTACCCACGCTGACTGGACCGTTCAAACATAAGTAAGGCGGGAACAGTATTGACTGGACTGTTCAACTGCAAGCAAGGAGGAACCAGCACTGAGTGGACAACAAGTCGGAGGACAGCCAGCTGAAGGACTGCTGGAAAGTGAGGATAAAAAGGGGAGCCTTGCACCGCTCTCCATCCTCTCGGGGATCATGGCCCAGTGCGTGCGAACCTCTGGATCTCCTCGCACTTGGAGCTGAAGAGCCAGCTCGCTAGCCCCCTTGCTAAGTGACACAAGGTGACTATGGGATCAGAACTCCAGCCGAGATGCCACCTCACCACCTTGCCTGAACCCCTTATCAGCTTACTGTCAGACCTGACCACAAAGCCGGACCAGGCCTCTCAGCAGGGGACCTCTCCAACTTCTCGCCTGGCTGTCCACCTGGTAACTTTGAGCCTGCTGCCCAGAGTGACAGCCTGCCCATGACGTCCTGCCTGTAAGTGACTGATCTGAGATCCGTCTCTGCCAAGACATGGAGCTCTGGACCTTGAACACTAACACTCTTTTTTGTGACCATTATATGAGCTTCAAAAACGCAGCTTTTACAAATAATGTTAGTCGGCCGGCGCCGCAGGCGGAGGATTAGCCTATTGAGCTGCGGCGCCGGCACCCTGAGTTCTAGTCCCAGTCGGGTGCGGGATTCTATCCCAGTTGCCCCCCTTCCAGGCCAGCTCTCTGCTGTGGCCAGGGAGTGCAGTGGAGGATGGCCCAAGTGCTTGTGCCCTGCACCCCATGGGAGACCAGGATAAGTACCTGGCTCCTGCCATCGGATCAGCGCGGTGCGCCGGCCGCAGCATGCCAGCCGTGGCGGCCATTGGAGAATGAATCAACGGCAAAGGAAGACCTTTCTCTCTGTCTCTCTCTCTCTCACTGTCCACTCTGCCTGTCAAAAAAAAAAAATAAATAAATAAAAAATAAAAATAAAAAAAAAACCACAAATAATGCTAGTCATGTGTAATATAATATAACTATGCTTTGACCCTATGCAAGGTATCTGCAAATAATGCTGGAGACCTCGATATACATATACTATAATAATTGGATAGCCCTCAAAATTACTTTAACACTGTATACTGTGATCTGTGGATTAATGAATAAGTTCAAGTAGTATTATTGATATTGATATTAATGGTAGTGATTCCAGTAGTCCTCTAATCATTAAGAAAATAGTGTTACTCTGATGGTTAAGTGTTATTATAGTAAATAAGTTAAGTAGAAGATAAGTAGTTATGTTAAGCTAAGTAGTTATGTTAAGCTAAGTACTTAAGCTAAGTAGTTGAGTGGTGCTGTTAAGTTTATTGATAAGTGCATTAAATAGTATAGATTGATAAGTATATTGATACTGATAAGTGTATTGACCTCAATGAGCATGCTGCTGAGTAGTGTGATAAAAAAACCCTGGTGTGTGAGCAGTAAAACCTCTCATTGGCAAGACGGTCTTGTGTCCCGGTGTTCCTTTCTTTTCCGTGACTGACAAGTGCGTACTTGGTACTGTCAAGCTGTGTGACAGTTGGCGCTTGCGACACCAAATACCTTACAGAGTTGTCATGAGATTAATGTGTGTGAGAACATCTTAAAAAATGCATACCACAATAAAAATGTGGACATTTTGATATATAAAAGACTTGTGTTTTTAGAGATATGTAAATAATATGGTAACACGTGTTTATTTCTGAGAAATAATAAAATACTGATAAACATAAAGGAAAGAAATCACTTACAATCTAATTTAGCAGTGTGTTCTTCCGGATTTATTTATTTTTTTTTTTTGACTCTTTTTTTTTTATCTTTTATTTAATGAATATAAATTTCCAAAGTACGTCTCATGGGTTACAATGGCTTTCCCCCCCATACCGTCCCTCCCACCCACCACCCTCCCCTTTCCCACTCCCTCTCCCCTTCCATTCACATCAAGATTCATTTTCGATTATCTTAGTATACAGAAGATCAGCTTAGTATACCTTAAGTAAGGATTTCAACAGTTTGTTCCCACACAGAAACATAAAGTGAAAAATAATAGATGATTTTTTTTTAAATGATGATGAAATCAGATCAGACCTATTGTCATGTTTAATCCCAGTGAGAGTCAAGTTGGGAATTGATGGTCCTTTTTTTTTTTTTTTTTTTTTAACAGAAGATCAGTTTAGTGTACATTATCCGGATTTATTTTATTTTATTTTTGACAGGCAGAGTTAGAGAGAGAGAGAGAGAGAGAGAGAGAGAGAGAGAAAGGTCTTCATTCTGTTGGTTCACCCCCCCAAATGGCCACTATGGCTGGTGCGCTGTGCCGATCTGAAGCCAGGAGCCAGGCACTTCCTCCTGGTCTCCCATGCAGGTGCAGGACCCAAGCACTTGGGCCATTTTCCACTGCTTTCCCAGGCCACAGCAGAGAGCTGGACTGGAAGAGGAGCAACCGGGACAGAATCCGGTGTCCCAATCGGGACTAGAACCCAGGGTGCTGGCGCCGCAGGTGGAGGATTAGCCAAGTGAGCCACGGCTCCGGCCCGGACTTATTTTAATATATTATTTTCTAAAAAGCAGCAGATTGAGCACTTGTTAAATCTCTATCTATATGTACAATCAACCAGGAAACTGGTTCCTCAAAGAATTTTGGAAGATGAAGAAAATTTTATTCGGCAGTTTGCCAGTATATAGTATTGGCTATCTTAGCTTGATTTGCTATAGTCTTTCTATTCCATTATCAAGTATAAAACTTCCACTTAGATTAACTGATACAACTGACTATTCATGAGTTATTCTTGCATATTTCATTGTTGCGAGCCACAGAATCACATTCAGATATTTGGAGCAGGAATGATTATTCTATGTATCAAGGCACTCACAGAATTTCTGGAAGAGCTAGAGAATCAAACATAATTTTTTACAACAAGAAACAGGGCAACCCTGATGTACATTAACTGATGACTAGATAAAGAAAATGTGAATAAAGATAAAGCAATGTGACTAGATAAAGAAAATACACACACACACACACACACTATGGAATGCTACTTAGCCATACAAAAAAATGAAATCCTGTCTTTCATAGCAAAAATGGATACAACTGGGAACAATACTTAGTGAAATAAGCTAGTCCCCAAAAGATAAGTACCATATATTTTCCCTGATCTGTGGTAACTAACAGAGTACAAAAAGATAGAATGTAACTGAGTAAAATTGACATTTTGAGGTTTGATTATTGTTTATAGTCCTGGTCTCTACTGTTGAGGAGCAATTTTTTTCTTAATATTTTTTGAAATTTTTTACTTAGTTGAGGATTAAGTTTACAGTTATAAAATGAACTGAAAGTATGTCATTCTAAAAATTGAAATAAGAAGAAAAAAAGGAGAAGGAAAGCTGGGAGCATGGGCAGAAGGGAGGATAGGGTGGAAAACATTACTATGCTTGCAAATCTGCATATATGAAATACATGAAATTTGTTTATCTTACATAATAAAAAACTAAAAAAAGGGCAAGAAAGGTTAAAGTCAACAGATGCAATATCCACACAGACTATCTGACTATTCTAGTAAAACTATTCATTGGTGTTGTGTCACCCATGAAGATTGGTGCCTACACTTTGATTTTAAGACATTTCACTGAAACTGTCCACCCAAAACCAAACAAGTTGTCCCATAAAGCTTCTGCCTTCTTAGATCCTTTCTGATTCTAGTTTCCTTAGTGGGAGCTACACTTCAATGCACTCTAGAAATGATGCTCTTTTCTTTTTCTTTTCTTAATTTTTTGACTCTGGTAGGAAGGTGAAATCTAACCAGGAATGGATAACCAGTAAGTAATTCTGCAGCTTTTGCTATAGGTAGGTACTATAATTCCAGTCTTCATATGAGAAAGTCAAGTCCAGTGCTGGTGTGGCACAGCAGGTTAAGCTGCTCCCACAATGCTAGCATCCCAGATGGGTGCCAGTTCAAGTCCTGGCTGCTCCACTGCTGATAAGCTCTTTGCTAATGTGCCTGATAGAGCAGCAGAAGATGGCCCAAGTATTTGGGCTCTTTCTACGCATGTGGGAGACCTGGAAGAAGCTCCTGATTTTGCAGTTTCAACCTGGCCTAGCACTTGCCATTGTAGCCATCTAGGGAGTGAACCAGCAGATGGAAGACCTCTCTCTGTCTCTCTCTGTCTCTGTCTTTCAAATAAATAAATAAATAAATAAATAAATCTTAAAAAGGAAAGCTAAGCCTTAAGTAGATTATATTCTTTGATCAATTAAAAAAAAATTGGCATACAAAATAGCCAGGATTTCAACTCATATGTTTTGATCAAATATTCACCTTTGTATCCACTATGATGGCTAATAATTACTTATTTACATGACTTCTCCCCAAAAGATTATGAGCTTCTGTGGAATAAAGATTTTTTCTGATCCAGTAATTATTTTTTTCAGTATAAGTTCTAGGTGTCATTATTCCTTCATTCAATCAAAACATTTTATCAATTATTCACCAAATATTATATCCTTTTAGCAACCTAACAAAATTCTAAATGAAACAAGCATAGTTATTGGTCTCATGGAGATTAGTGTTTAGTGGGAGAATCATTTGATTAAAAAATAATCTCGCATTAGTTAAGCACAAGTGGAAAGATATATGAAAATAAGAGAACATTTAAATGCGGGTTTAAGCTAATTTTGAATGGAGGCAAAGAGAGAAGTCTCTAGGGAAGTGGCTTGAGTTACAGAAACTGGAAAACGAGTAGGTGTCAGCCAGACTAAAGGGCAGGCTCTGGGAAGAGAACACTGTAAGTACACGGAATAAATAGACTGTGAGAAGGTGTCAAGTTTAGAAGGAGTCATTGAAAGAAGGCCAGCACGATTGGATCACAGAGATTAAGGAAGCGACTGACCCAAGGATAAGGATAAAGAAGTAGGAACTTTAGAAACATTCACTTAATAACACATGTGTGCATACATCAGTGGGAGACAGCTGTGATCTTCCTAAGTGTCCTTTTTACAGTAAGATTTCATGATTCCTAAAGAATCAATATGTCTCTGCAAAGTTAGAAAAGGAAAAGTGAAGCCAGGGTGGTAAACTGTTCTAAACTCGTAACATACATTTATTGACAGTCTACCTTAACCCCTCAGCATAAATCACTTTTGTGGATGCTGTGGATTTTACAAGGAGAAAAGTAGACTGGACCTAATTATCTAACACCTGAAAGTAAAATCAGAAACACTAGCAGTAATTTACAGCAAATACAATTAAGCAGATGGCTCCTTTCACTATATGAACTTTGAGATAACATTTTGTCTTGATGAATTTGCAAAAATCTTTAGAACTTTGCCTGAAGTTCCCTTTCAAAACAATGGAAATGGACAAAATGCTTACATTAAGAATACTATAATTTATTCTTTAATATATTTTAATAAAATACCAAAAACTGCCCTGTTTCTGTCAAAAGAAAAATGCAATTATATTCCATATATTCCATCTGTTTACAGAACTCTAGAATCCTCAAAATTACTCAACCAGTATCTAATACAAGTAATACAAGTTTTCTACTTTTTCAAAATTTACATCATGATAAATCCTACAGTAATGGCTAAAATAATATATTAATTCATTCATATCTTTCCAGTCTATTAATGAAATGTCTGACATTCAAACAGTGGGGAAAATTAACATTGGAGAAAATGATCATTGGAGAAAATTAACAAGTCTTTCTGAACTACTTGAAAATATATTCAATATTCCATGACTCATAATTATCTACTTAAAATAGATGGTTGACTTCTTTATTATATTAAGTTTATTTTCATAGACATATAATTGAAAATCAAACATGAAGCAGCACTATTTTTTTTGACAGGCAGAGTTAGACAGTGAGAGAGAGAGACAGAGGGAAAGGTCTTCCTTTTTTTCCGTTGGTTCACCTTCCAAATGGCTGCTACAGCTGGTGCGCTGCGCCGATCCGAAGCCAGGAGCCAGGTGTCTCCTCCTGGTCTCCCATGCGGGTGCAGGGCCCAAGCACTTGGGCCATCCTCCACTGCACTCCCGGGCCACAGCAGAGAGCTGGACTGGAAGAGGGGCAACCGGGACAGAATCCGGCGCCCCGACCGGGACTAGAACCTGGTGTGCCGGCGCCGCAGGCAGAGGATTAACCACGTGAGCCGTGGCGCCAGCCATCAGCACTAATTTTTAAAATCTAACTTCTAACTTCTCTCCTAGGTCATGGGATAAAATGTAAGTCCTCAAGTATAAAGCAAGATCTTTTCCTATTTTCTGAAAGTCTTTGTCTCCTGCCACTTCAGAGACTATACTTTATTATCACTTTCTTTTCAGCATCTGCAACTTCTTTCTCTAAACTAATTCTTTCCCCTTATCTCCTCATCATGTTCAATACTCTTAGTAAAAGCAATCAAAGACAAGTAATAAAACAACTCCTCTAATATGTCTCCTCCCCTCTACAATCCTTATTTTCTCTTTTTCTGTAGCATTCATACTATTGTATCATAACTGTCTTCTCTTCCCTATTGAATGTTTTGAATGCAGACACCAAGTATTTGAAGTGATGTTTCCTCTGCAACTTTACAGCTGATAAGAGGTTCTTAGGTATTTGAAATATATGAGTTGTAAGAATTATAGGTAGGCCTTGTTAAAATCAGATTGAAATGATTAAATATTGAAACTTTATGTACAATTTTATAAACGCATTAGGTTCTGACAAAGAAGCGTACATTTAAAATTTTACATTTTGTTTTCTTTTTGTTACACTTTAGATAGTAAAGATGATGGCTCAATTAATTGAGTCCCAGTCAACCACATATGACACCCAGATGCAGCTTGGACTCCTGGCTTTGCCCTGGCCCAGCTCTGGCTACTGTGGACGTTTGGGGAGTGAACGAGTACATGGAAGATCTCTCTCCACCTGAAGCTCTTTCTTTCTCTCATTGTCTCTCTGCCTTTCAAATAAAATGAAAAAAAAATTGATAACTTTCTTAAATATAAACTCTTGACTGCCATTGGTTTTCAAGATTACTTTCGGATATGTATATGAACTAAATATATCCTTTGTATCTAACTTTGTTAAAGGTGATTTTGCATCCAAAATAAATTTATCTTTTGCAAATAGTATTTGCATATGATAATCCACAATTTTGTATTTCAAATGTATTACCGTTTTAATTAGCTGAAAGCGATAGGATAGGGATTTATCCAGTCTACTGTGGAAGTTCTAATATGATTTTAGAAAACAACTAAGAGCACTAATTTTGTTGTCAATTTTTATATCCTTATAATTGCCTCTTAAATAGGTGACACTGTTTTTGCGGTAATCACTGCTGCTTTGAAATGGCTTTAAAATGGAAAAACATTTATGCTAATTCTTAGAACAGATGAACTGTTTATTTTGACATTTGTTGGCAGTGGACCATGTCCTCTGCAATTCCAAAAAAGACAACCTGGGAACTTCTGTGTAGAACTAACCATTTTAATAATTTTAGAAGTGATTAAAAAGAAAACCAATTTCAAGGTCGCATAAGATTATTCTAATTCATCTTATCTCAAAGGTACTGGGCAATGACATTGGTTGGAGTGTGGTCAAATTGTTACAGTGTTGGTCACTCAGTAAAGAAGTCTGAGCAGCTGATGGGCTAGATCTAGGGACCTGAGAAATGATTCCTTTCTCTCAGCTTTTCTAAGATGGGCACTCACTAAGGAGAGGAATTATAGGGTAATTCTTTCAGGCAAGGTCATGTTAATTGGAGGGAAGACAAAACAGTCTAGGAAGTGGGTTGTACTGCAAAAAATAGTTTAGAAGAACAATGGAAAGTGATGTTAGTACAGTTTATGAAGTAGAGGTTCCAGATGTTAAATATAGATAAAGAGAACAGAAGAATATAAAGATTCTAAACTGTATCAGAACGAATCATGGAACTTGAGGAGTACAAAGGACTTTAGAGATACATCATTTTATTTCAAACCTTTCATTTTAAAGAGGAAGAAACTGACCTTTAAAAAGGTGAAATCACTTGGCCCAGGTCGCACAGAGTTAGAAAATAGTGCCTGTGGGTTCCTATGATGGGGATGTGGAAGAACACATAAGGGAAGAAAGGAAGTGGGTCTCTTTTCATTCTGATCTAGAAACGCAAATCCTTTAAAAGGATACATAGACCTTTTTAAAAAACAACTGGCATCACCTGCAGAGCTGAACCAAATGTGTGGTTGCTACCCAGGCTAGGCCAGAAAAGTGTTCTTTGTAAAATTTCTCTTTGTGCATTCATAACCTTCATAAAATTAGTTCATGCTTGCTTTAAATTACTTTGCACCTGTCCTAATTGCTCCTGGGTGGAAATGTCCTAAGAGTTACCCAGGGTTTGCAAAACTGGGCTACTGGCAATATTTTTAGGATCTCTCTGCCTTACATGACTTACAGAACATTTTGCTGCTACTAACTTGGTACTGCATGCCACATAACTCAATTTGAATTTTCCTACTAAGGTGTTCAATTTATTATTCTTTTCTTTATTGTATATTTGCTTTAAGAGACAGTCTCCATGATGCTATTTGAGGTATCACATGAATTCTGTAAATTTACTTTGACCTCCTTATTTTTAGCTTCTATGATCTACATTTTGATTCCTTTTTCACATATATTTTATTGATTGCAACTTCCTGCTTAAACTATTTAACTTTTCCTTTTTAAAAATTCCTAGCCACCTCCTTAAATTCATACATATTCATACTCTCTCCCCCCATTCCCTCACTTCTACAATCATAAGAGCATTTTTCCCAAGGAGGAAGGTAGGAAACTTATGAGAGAAGGCCTGGAGAAGGTCAGGAATCATAAATGTGCACAAACTAACTTAAAATGTGGTATAAAGCCATCATTGGCAGGACAGGAAATCCCAAGGACCTGTTTCTCCATTAAGAGGGGCAAAACTATCAGAACCAACTTTACTGGAACTCTGGAAAGTAGTTAAAGAATTACAGCAACCAAGAGAACTCTTAATCAAGAGAAAAGGAAGCTGAAACACAGTAGGAAAAGCTGTGAGATTGTAACTTACTCTTGCCCATCTTCTCCATTCCTGGATCCCAGACTGTGCTCCCAGTGGGGGACCTGGTGCTGGAGGGAGTGATGTAGATCTTGTTTTCAAGAACTATGGTTGCCTGTTCTGACTCCATATCAGGTAGCTCCTTGAAACTAACATAACTGGCCTTGCCTTTATTTTACATAATTCAGAATTTTCTCAGGACATAGGGCATCTATCAGAAATATTTAAAAACAATGAATCAGCTACTTAAAACTGAGACAAAGGATATTCACTGAAATAAATAACTAATAAGCCAAGCAACTTGGGAGAGAAGGCTTAGGAGGGAGATGCTTTGGGGATTAGGACTTTGAAAAGCTAACACATACTCATAGGTATCTAGAAGACCACACGCATGCCCATGGCAGGGCACATGGTCAGAAATGACCTGAAAAGCCTCAGACACTCCCACCGTCAGCTGAACTTTGAACAAACAGGATGTGAAGCAGAAGGCACACAGCAAATGGCACAACTGAGTGTGAAAGACCTTCCAGCACACAAACACACACAGCAGTTACAACTATGGGGAGTCTAGTTTTCCCCATGTTTTTAAGGAATCGCTGTGAAAACACTAGCTGGCCATTAAGCTCATGAAAGAGATTTCAGTGACTGTATGTAACAAAGAATACATTAAAAAAACACACAGCTTTAAAAAGTCACTGAACAACTATAGCTCCAAACAAGCAGCAGCAATAAAACCTGGAGATGGAGGATATAGAATAGGGCCACATTACAATATTCAAAATACGCAGTTTTAAACAAGGCATTAGGCATGTAAAGAAGCAAGAAAGTATGGCTCATTTACAGGAGAAAAAGAAATGAACATTCCTGTCTCTGAGGAATCCTAGATATTGGATTTACTAGACAAACATTTGAAGCCAACTGTTAAAAGAATTTTTAGAAATTAAGTAAAACTGTGGACAAATAACTAATGGAATACTGAAAAGCAATGTCTCACCTAAGGGAGGATATTTACAAGGAGGCAGAAATGAAATAAAGGAACCAAACAGGAATTTTGAAGCTGAAATGTACAATACTAAGATGAAAAAAAATTTACTTGAGGGTTTCAATAAAATATTGGAACAGATTGAAGAAAAAAACTAGAGAATTTTTACATGAGGAAATTGAAATCATCTATTTTTAGGAGAATGAACAAATAATGAGGAAAAATAAATAGAGCCCTTAGTGAATTTTGAACATCATCAAGCATATCAACATATAAGGATAGAAGAGAGAATAAAGTAAAAAAAAAAAAGTGTGATGAAAATAATGGCTGAAAACTTTCCAAATGTGATGAAAGACATACATCTACATATCCAAAAGTTCAACAATTACCAAGTAAGACAATCTCAAAGAGACATTAACTAGGATATAATATAATACAAGCTTTAAAAGCAAAAGAGAGAATCTTGGAAACAGCAAGACAAAAGTAATTCATATGCAAGGGATTATCAATAACAGCTAATTTATACCATAGAGACCCTAAGGCAGTGAAATACCTATTTAAAAAGTGCTGAAAATGAAGACATTAACCAAGAATTCTATATTCAGCAAAACCATCCTTCAAAAATGAAGGAGAAATTCAGAAATTCCCAAATAAACAAAAGGTGAGGGTGTTTGCACTAATAGATCAGCCCAACAAAAAATGCTAAAAGAAGTTGAAATAGAGTACTACTCAGCTATAAAAAAATGAAATTCTGTCTTTTGCAACAAAATGCATGCAATTGGGAACCACTATACTTAATGAAATAAGCCAGTCCCCAAAAACAGATATCGGGGACTGTGCTGTGGCATAGTGGGTAAAGCCACTGCCTATAGTGCAAACATTCTATATTGGCGCTGGTTCAAGTCCTGGCTGCTCCACTTCTGATCTGGCTCTGTGCTATGGCCTGAGAAGGCAACAGAAGATGGCCCAAGATGGTCCAAGTCCTTGGGATCCTGGACCCACATGGGAAATCCCGAAGAAGCTCCTGGCTGCTGGCTTTGGATCAGTGCGACACCAGCCATTGCAGCCAATTGGGGAGTGAACCAGTGGATGGAAGACCCCTCCCCTCTCTTTTTCTCTGCCTCTCCTGTGTAACTCTGGCTTTCAAACAAATAATAAATAAATCTTAAAAAAGAGACAGATATCATATGTGTTCCCTAATCTGGAGTAACAATAGTACCTAAAATGTAATGTATGGGAGTGAAATGGACATTTTGAGATGATGATTACTTACAGCTGTTGCCTATACTGTTTTTGTTTTTTCTTCATACTATCTAGTAAACTCTTTAGTTAGTGTAGGGCTAACTTTGTGAGTCTTAAGTAAACTGAAAATAGATCTTTGTAAAAATTCAGAGTGAGAATAGTAGAGGGAGGAAGAAGAGTTGGAGTGTGGGTAGGAGGGAAGGAGGGAGGGGTAGATGGTATCATTATGTTCCTAAATCTGTATATATTAAAAGCATGAAACTTGTATAACTTAAATAAAATTTTAAAAAGATATGAAAAGAGAATAGATAATAACTTGCAGCTATATATAAAAAACAACATGAATAAATGTAACTACATAGGTAAATATAAAAGCCAGTACTGTTGTGTTTTTTTTGTAACTCCTTTTTCCAACATAATTGAAAAGATAAATTGATAATAATTATAGATATATATTAGTAGGCACACAATGCATAAACACGTAATTTGTGACAATAACAACACAAACAAGGAGTGATAGACTTATATAGAAATAGAGTTTTCTATACTATTGAAGCTAAGTCAGTATTAATTCAAACTAGATTACTTATAAATTAAAGATGTTGACTGTAATTCACAAGATAAGCACTAAGAAAACAAATTGTACAGAAAACTAATTGAGAAGGAAAATAATCACAAAAGGAAATTAAATTGATTTTAAAAACTAAACATAAAAATAGCAATGGAATAATTAAGGAACAACAAAATTATAAATATTTAGAAAATAGATAGTAAAATGGTACAAATAAATCCTTCCTCAGCAGTAGTTACTGAACTATAAATCGATTATACTACTCAATTAAAAGTCAGAGATTAGG